AAAAAAAAAAACTTGTTTTGAAGAAATATTGTAATAGAGGTCTGAATATACCTAAACGAGTTGCATCTGCAACTTGACTGAAATTTAATTGCTCCCGGCGGTTAACATTTTCAACCAATATGTTCACCATTTCCATGAAACGTCCCATCTCTTTGTCATAATGCTAAAAAAACTGTGCGTTTTCAAACAAACTGAAATCATGTTAGATGGCAAAAAGCAATTGTAAAAACTAAAAAGAGTACTTTTTCCAACGCGTCAACAATGGCATTATGTTTCGCCCTCTCTAAACGCGACTCCTCTAGAATCGTGTTCTGGTTTTCCTGCAAATCTTCATTAACCATAAACATCAGTTAAATAGTTCCGGTACAGTCTTACTATCCGAAAACTACTAGTCTAAAAAACACTCCCACCGTGTAAGAAGACTCACAGGCATTTTCACCTCCGAAATTAACAGTATCTGCTCAAATTTAAAAAAAAGTTTGAAGGCCATACCGTGACAACACACTGCTTCTTTTAACAGAACCCTACCTAACCCAATCAGAACATAACTAAATTTTTTCACTACTACAAAGAAAATTGAAACCCTAGTCGCTTGAACCACTCTTTTTAGCAAAAAATCAGTTCTCAGCAGATACCCATACAATCGTATTGCAGGAATTAAAAAGCGCTAACTTCCAGTTTCTTTATCTTGCCCATCATATCTAACTGAAGAGTTGAAATACCAAGAATTGTTTTTGCGATTAAAGTGTCATCGTCCAGACAGTTAGTTACATCTGGCGATTTAATAAATGAAGAACCTCCACTATCCTTCATTGGTAACTGAGATTTTGGAACTACTTGAAACCTGCAAAAACCAAAGAAATATCCAGTAATGAAAAAGAGGAATTCTGTGGCATGATACACATATTAATGAAAGGTACAGAAGTCTTCTTAAAATTAGCCTCAAAGAAAAAACAGCTAACTTTTTGGTTTCTACAAAAACTAATCAACAACACTAGCAGAGTGCTTGAACAAAATTAATTTTAAAAAATCCAGTAAATTATCAAGAAATAAATAAATAAGTAAAATAGCTGACTTCAAAACACTGAGGACAAGAAATAAAAAAAAAAAATCAAGGTGCAGACAAAAACGAAATGTTAGAACCTCGAATCAAACGTAAAACTTTAACAAGTGTTAAATAAATACGCCTAAATGTGACGGAATTATAATTACCCAATTTGACAAAACTGCAAATCTGGAATGATTAAAAGCTTCCCCTTAGCCTCTTCCTTCTACTTGGAAAAATATATGCTGCCCATAACCGGACAGAACTGTTCTAAGTAGATGATAAACATTCCACTTAGTTGCGTATCAAAACACAGATTTCATTGCATTATGAAAGACCCAAAAAAAAAGAAAAAGAAAAAGAGAAAAAAAAATTAGGGAAAAACGAAAATGAT